AACATTTAGTAATGGCTGTTTTCAATTGTTTTTCAAATTTTGTTGAATTGTTACCAATCCATGGTAGTTTTAGGTAAACAGGGTACTTGTTAAGACTAAATTTTGGATCATTTGAGAAGCTCTTAAATTAGAGTAAAGAACTTATGATATTTTAGTACAAAGATTACTTATTGACATGAAAGTTGTGAGGATAGTGTGTATTTGGAGATTTGTTGAAACTATGACCTCAAACTGTGTCTTTGTATCTTCAGATTTCAGATAAGAATATGAATGGTGACACGCAAATGTGACCATGGAAATATTAAAGGTTAAGGCTGAACCCCTTTCTGATGCAGAACAGGATGCTTTGTTGGATATCAACTTGATGAAAAATGAAGAAACGTTTACATTATTTAGTAGTAAGTGCACACATCTTTAGAATTTAAATGTATTGAGTTTTTGCCAAGACCACTTTCTTTTTCAGAATAGGGTGAATTTTATTTTTCTTTTACTTTAGTTGTATGTAGAATTTTCCTTCATTGATTTGATTGGAAATGTTTATGTAATAGAGAGTAAAGTAATTTGATTTCCTTTCCCATAAATGTCTTAACAGTAAAATGAGGTTGCTCTCGCTTGCATGGTGTTTAGTCTAGGACACAGCACACTTACAACCAGTAAAACCTTTTTAATCCTATTCTCATCATCATAAGTTGAATTAAACCTGTGACCTCTCACATGCTTAGTGCTCTACCAGCTAAACTAAAGGGTTAGCCCACTGTCTACTGCTAGTATTCTTACCCTCTTACAGAACAGAGCTTGTCTTTGAACCCTACTTCAGGGTCATGTTTCAACCACTACTTATTGGTGCCAACTTTACTGTGTCTTAAAACTAACTGTGGTAAGATCATGAAAGTGAAAGGAGAGGTTGAAACACATAAAGTGAAATCAGTAATGTTTTTCTTTTTTTTTAGAATGACTGCAGATTGTAACAGTTATTTATTCTAACAGATTCAGCTTCTGAGATTTTTACCTCTGCCATTGATTTTATTGTTTTAGTACTGTACAATAAGTATACATCTGAACTTCTAATGTGGCAATAAGCCGTAATTGATTAGAGGAGATTAGGATGAACAAATAATCACTCAGGGTCAGGTTACAAACAATTAGACTTAAGTAGCTCAAGCTGATTTTGTAAAAAAATTTTTTAATTTTATTTTGTTATCTAACTTAACAATTTTCTAATTTGTACATTTTACTTAGTTTTAAAAGTATGTAACAATGAATAGTAAAAGATAACTAAAAACAAGAAATTTAGAACATATATTAACCTTTAGACCTATTTGTACTTGGAATGTGCTTTGATAAGACTGCTTTTTTCATGCTATGTTAATTATCCACCAAATAATTCATGTTTCTTTCACTATGGTGGGCTTTTGCTCCAGGACTGAGGATACCCATTGTTGATGTTCCTACTTTTAATCACTCTGGCACTGTCTTAAGTTTATTCACCATCGGGTTGGATACTAGTTTCTTGGCTTGCCCTTTGAGCTTGTTTCGAATATGTATGTCTTTGTCTCCAGTTCCTCATTCACTTGCCATGGCTGGTGATGCAGTCAGACAGGATTGGGACATGTTTATATCTTTATTTTATCATCCTATTTGTCATCTTCCATGGGTGATTTCATTCATCCTTGCTACTCTGTGTCAGGTCTTTCTGATTGCTCCTACCTGGCCGATAAAAGAGCTGGTTTTCTTATATGCTTCAGCTCGATCTGTCCTATTTTGTTATGGATCAGTTTTTCCTACCCTCCACTTTGGTAGCTCATGGGGCATGTTCTTCTTTTTATTCATTTTGGTTTCCTTCCATCTCCCACCTTTAATCCCAGTTGGCTTTCTTTGTCCCGTACTTGCTCTGGGTTGCTCCATTGCTTTCAAGAATACTTTCCACTGATTCCTTTTCCTATTGTTTCATTCCTTGGCACCACTTCTTTGTTTGTGAATTTTTCCTACCTCTCTTACCCTTAGGATTTGGTTTTTGACTCAATTGGCTTTTTCTTCCTTATAGATGCTTCTATCTTTCCCTCACATTGGTCCCTCCACCTATTCAGTGTGGGATTCAAGCTATTTGTGTGAAAGAAGGTAATGTACCATATCAGAAATACATTTTCATTATAGGAAAATTATAATTTTAACCTTCTGGATGACTTGAGTGGAGGACCATACAGGAGTCCTTCTGATGTATTTGCTTCCATTCAGTAAAGTAGGGCGGTGGTGTTCTGCTGGTGTAGATGGTGTGTGATCCTCCAATCATGTGTCTCAAATCCGTGCGTTGGGTCATGGTGGTTGATGTTGCACACAACTTCTGTGTAGTTCTATCTGGAGACCTGGAGAGTGACATTGTATTCCAGTTTCTCTGTGGTTATGTGCAGGTGATGATGATGTGCATATGTAGAAATAAATATGCTCCAACTCCATGCAGTGGATCCCAGAAGTTGATGTTGCATGCAGCTTATGTGTGGTTCTATCTACAAGGTGAGATTGCTTATATTTTATGGATACAATCCTCTTCTGTATGGGTGGACCTGGAGTAGATCCATTACAATGCAATTCACCCCTTTGATTGGGATCCCTCATCCTACCATTACCTGAATGTTGGTTCCCAGTGAGTGGTTTTGGAATAGAGGTGGACCAATCAACATAAATTCTCACACATGTTGGTTGTAGTACTTCTTCTTCACTCAATTTATCTCTGAATCTTCACCTCCATGTGGTGGATCCTGGAGGTTGATGTCATGCCCATCTGGTTCTATCTGGAAGGTGAGGTTGCTGTATATTTCTAGAATCAATCCACTGGCAGTCCTATCCAGAGGATGATGTTGATCTGGACAATGGCTCTTTTCTTGTGCTACACCTCATGTTTTTTTCGTAGATTGGTTTATGCATTATAATCTTCCATTCTACTTAACTTGAGGTGAAGATGATATGGACCCTCCTCCTACCATGGGCTGGAGGTTCTATTCCTGATAACACTTGATTTTGGAATGGAGTTGACTGGCTGCATATGGTTTGTCACACCCTAGCCACTCTACATCTTGGAGCACTTCCATTTGAGTTTTCACTACATTCTTGTCTGTATATAGTTCTACAGACTTTCTTTTATGGGATTGAGCTTCCAATATACTGTAATTCGGATTCCAAACCAACTGGTTGTCTCTGCCTTTTTGATTGTGTTCCTTCCACTTTCTGCCTAAGAATACAACACCTACTTCCACACTAGGTGCATAATGTATCTGGTCCAGAAGTGCTTTGGTCTCCCATGTGTGTTCCTCTTCCAACAGGTATTACACTTTATGGGTGTTCTTTGGACATTTTCAAAAGATACCTATTTTTTATTCTTTGCACTGGCTCTTCCACCTATCTATTAAGAGATTTTTGCTATATATGGGAGTGGAGGTAATTTACTGTATCAGAAGTTATTATTTTCCTATACTGAAAATATATATATGTAATAGGTACTTCCCCCTCTCACACTTTCCACCCTTCCTCCCCACTCAAAACCAGTGCTTTCCTTTCCTGCTTAATCTTGAAATTAGCATTAAAATTTACATTATAGTTCAATGTTTTATTTTATCTAAGTTTGAATTCATTTATTTCAGAAGAAACCTTAAAGAAAAAGTCTTAAACTTCAATTTTATTGTCACATGATGCATGAGTTCACAAAATCTTAAATTTATGTCTCTGTAAGTTAAATACTTCTTCACTTACACTATAGTTCCAACACAGTTCTTCCCTCTGCTTACAAGATTAGCTATTTTTGTTTTTTGCCTGCCCTCTATATGCAAACTTTTTTTATTACACATGCCACAAGCCTTCTGCATTTCCCTATTGGAATCAAATAATTCCAACATGTCTCTCATGCAAATCATCATGTGTCATCTATCCACCTATAGGATTATAGTACACTCACATGACGCATGCAAATCCCTCTATATCTCTCTAACAAACTATCACTTCTCGTTTTGCAGCATTTGCATTAAGGCATCTTTCTTTTTTCATATTTGAGATAGTATTTTCTTGAAGTGGTTTAATTTAATTTAGAATACTCAGGTTTTTTTTTGACATTATTTCAATTCACTTACCCTTATTCTAGTCCCATTTCTTAATTGTTTCAAATGATTTTGATTCTAGAACCTGTTCCACATCATTCACCGAGGTTTTACTCCCCTCTGTTTTTGTTCCCAAAAAGACCAGGGACTGGTCACCTGTCATCAATCTGTCCCACTTCAATCACTTTGTTCACCTCCCATGTTTCACAATGGAGTCCCATGTCAATCTTCAGTTGGCTTTTTCCTCCGGGTCTATGAATGTCTCCAATGCCTACCTGCATATTTCCATCTCAAGATGGTCTCATCCTTATCTTTGGTTTGTCAGTCGAGGGCTGGCTTTAGCTACGTACATTTTCGGTCAGGTGGTACGAGTTTTTGCTCTTCATCTTTATGCCCTGGGGTTGTGTTTCCACTTTTACTTGGATGACTGGCCCATTCCCAATAGGAGTTGGCCTGTCATACTCATCGGCTCCTTCTCGAAGCTGCTCAGGTAGGCTGGTTGATCAAATGGGAGAAGACCTTCCTATGTCCTACCTAATACCTTGTACATTTTGGTGTCTTTTTCAACACTCACCTCAGTTGGGCCCAACCTTCTCCTCCCAGATTCTGTTCTAAGGAATTGTCAGGAATCTTTACATATCGATGCCCTAGAGCTCCTAGCTGTTCGTAAGACTTTGGATCACTTTCTTCCCATTGCCAGACAATGTCTGGCACTGATCCATTCCAACAATTCCATGGTGGTGGCATAGATCAATCACCATTCACCCTCTGTTTTTACATGTTGGATCTCCTGTATTAGGCCCAGGTGCAACACATTTGTTTAATTGAATGTCATGTCTTAGGTGCTTTCAACCTCGTGTCAGATCATTTTTCCCATCCAGACAAGGTTTACCTGATGGAGTAATCCCCTCATCCCTTTGTTTTCTGGTGACTTTGTAGTCTATGGGGTGTTCCTCACACTACTACTGCTTTTACTACTGCCCTCAATCACCAGTTACCCCCTCTTTTTGTTCCCAATTCCACATCCTCGGGTTTTGGCTATAGATGCTTTCAGCCAGTATTGGGCACACAAATTCCTATATGTTTATCCTACTATCTGATTACTTCATTGGGTAGTTTCCCTGATCCATGCCACTCCATGCCAAGTCCTTCTGATTGCTCCCTACTGGCCAGCTCAACCATGGTTTCCTAATTTACTCCACCTATAATTATTCCATCCAGTACCACTTCCTTTATTACCCAACCTCCTTCTTCAACCCTGGTCACTGGTGCTACATCCTACACTTCATGTCCTTTGTCTTCACGCTTGACTT